CTTCGGCGTCGGTGGATGCCGTTATAACCAAAGGCATCCTTTACTATATAGAAGAGCCCCCTGCGCTTTGCGATTTCTGTTGTCGGCCGCTCTCTGAATTTAATGGTTACTCAAACCACCAGGCGCCGACAGTTCTTGGAATTTTTGTTGATACAATGTGCTCTCGAGGGGAAGTTCTTCCCACATATAACCACCTGGGGCCGACTGTGGGGGCCTATCTAAAAATAAGACTGTATCACCCAAGTGGATGCTTTTTTTAAATGAAAGTCTCTAATGAAAATATTCCTGAACAAATAAAAAGGGCATTCTGTAGCTAGTTTTCTATGAGGAGTGGCTTTATCATTGCAGTCTGCTGATGAAGGCTGCATTTCTTCATCCTTTTCCTATCTAGACGCAGAGAAAGAGAGATAGAGTATGGGCAAATGTGCCTTCCGAATAGTCCTAAGGTGCTTATAGTGATATCTGTTTAGTGTACGATGCATAAAATCGCCGTCTTGCTTGCTTGAGTCGAAGTGAATAATTCTCGAGAGTTTGGTCAGATTAGTATTGGAGACATTAGCTAACGACTTAAGCGGTAGCCCTTCGGCTGTCAATTTCCGTACGCGCTCAGTGTCGGACAGGAAATGCTTTGATATCGTAATAACTCGGTGTGATCACTCAAAAGTGACAGCAAGTGTCGACTTCCGACAGATATACAGTAGATAGTCTATGTGATGAAGTGTCATGGTAAAGACAAGAAAGTGCATGTTGCGCGAAACTAGTGTATGCAGTGTCCCGTCCTCCCCCCTCTCACGGTTTACAGCAGTAAATTAATTACCATAAGTAAAAAAGACATAAGTTGGTTGATAAATTACTATTTATTAACATAAAATTAGGTAATTGTCACTTAAAACTCGAGGCTAGATTACAGGTCACTGATCTAGCATTAAATATTAATGTGTTTAAGGCAGGGGAAGGACAAAAAAGCCGTAAATTAACACAGAATCAGTACTTTGTTGATTGTCCGTGTGTATTTAGAAGTTGATTAAGTCTATCAGACATTGACATGGCGAGGTTGTCTATAGCGGTCTATTCTATGTGATTATTAAGCACAAAGTCAAGTTTTTTTGGATGAAAAGATTCTTCTTTGCCTTGTGCCAATTTCTATAGGATTGAGATCTGGGCTGCTGGTAGGAGTAAAAATGGATTACAGGTCACGCGTGGAGGCTGGCTGTTGTCTCAAAAGTTAGATTACAGTTTTACATGTTATCAAATTCACATCATCTTTTGTGTACATTGAGAGAAATTTCCTTCCGTCACATTTCTCTGTGATTATTTTTAGAGTTTGATTACGACAGGATTCAGATCGTTCGCAAAGTTCAGTTTATTTTCAGTCAATCGTCCATAAATACAGACTCTATTCTGCGTGCTTGCCAATCCCAATTCTTGGTGGGATAAAAGAAAACTGGCAAACACGTTCATTGCTCTGTCGTGTAGCAAAAACTTCGGAAATGTGCACAAAAATGAACATTTTTTAAAGCCGAATTCGTTCCTGGTTTCTCGAAAACAATGTGCTTCCTTACGATTTCCTTTATCTGAGTTTTATTGACTTTTTTCTCAGTTTCAAAAGGAATCAGTTTGAAACGTTTCTTGGTTCTAGTAATGTTTCCTAATAATAGCGCATCACACAATAACAGTAGGTTTTGTTCTCTGATAGGTAATAGCACAGGAAATTTTCCGGCTGTCCGAGACCATCCGAGTTCGTCCAAGTTTCGCCTGCTTCCTTTAATAAACGAGACTGGATATGCAGTTTTCTTAAGTAAAAGGCTTTCCTAGCCTCAAATCAAGTCATCAAATCAAAATAACAAAGCCAAACGTACATTGAACTACTAACTCAATGTATGCCGACCTCTGTCGCGAGCATTAGTGTCGACAC